TGTCTGTCTGTCTCACTGTCTCTCTCTCTGTCTGTCTATCTATCTGTCTGTCCGTCTATCTGTCTGTCTGTCTGTCTGTCTGTCTGTCTGTCTGTCTGTCTGTCTGTCTGTCTGTCTGTCTGTCTGTCTGTCTGTCTGTCTGTCTGTCTGTCTGTCTGTCTGTCTGTCTGTCTGTCTGTCTGTCTGTCTGTCTGTCTGTCTGTCTGTCTGTCTGTCTGTCTGTCTGTCTGTCTGTCTGTCTGTCTGTCTGTCTGTCTGTCTGTCTGTCTGTCTGTCTGTCTGTCTGTCTGTCTGTCTGTCTGTCTGTCTGTCTGTCTGTCTGTCTGTCTGTCTGTCTGTCTGTCTGTCTGTCTGTCTGTCTGTCTGTCTGTCTGTCTGTCTGTCTGTCTGTCTGTCTGTCTGTCTGTCTGTCTGTCTGTCTGTCTGTCTGTCTGTCTGTCTGTCTGTCTGTCTGTCTGTCTGTCTGTCTGTCTGTCTGTCTGTCTGTCTGTCTGTCTGTCTGTCTGTCTGTCTGTCTGTCTGTCTGTCTGTCTGTCTGTCTGTCTGTCTGTCTGTCTGTCTGTCTGTCTGTCTGTCTGTCTGTCTGTCTGTCTGTCTGTCTGTCTGTCTGTCTGTCTGTCTGTCTGTCTGTCTGTCTGTCTGTCTGTCTGTCTGTCTGTCTGTCTGTCTGTCTGTCTGTCTGTCTGTCTGTCTGTCTGTCTGTCTGTCTGTCTGTCTGTCTGTCTGTCTGTCTGTCTGTCTGTCTGTCTGTCTGTCTGTCTGTCTGTCTGTCTGTCTGTCTGTCTGTCTGTCTGTCTGTCTGTCTGTCTGTCTGTCTGTCTGTCTGTCTGTCTGTCTGTCTGTCTGTCTGTCTGTCTGTCTGTCTGTCTGTCTGTCTGTCTGTCTGTCTGTCTGTCTGTCTGTCTGTCTGTCTGTCTGTCTGTCTGTCTGTCTGTCTGTCTGTCTGTCTGTCTGTCTGTCTGTCTGTCTGTCTGTCTGTCTGTCTGTCTGTCTGTCTGTCTGTCTGTCTGTCTGTCTGTCTGTCTGTCTGTCTGTCTGTCTGTCTGTCTGTCTGTCTGTATATACCCGTCCGTCTGTCTAGCAGCATTTTCAGCAATTTATATAACCACTGAAGTCGTGGACAATGTGCCTAGGTTGACTCTGATACATATAACGTCCCGTTGATGCAGCTTGATGTGTGTGCTTTGGCATGGGATGTCTGCTAATCTAAATTGTCATGAAAATTTTTCTACCATCGACTGAATGAACGATATTTTTCGGAGGTTTCGCTGGCTAAATGCACAAACGTTTTCGCGTGAAAGTTATGCTGAATTCACACCATTTTACTTTCGTCCGTGACCATGAATTTCGCGATAAACGCTCATCTGCAAATTAAGTTGTGCCTTGTATAAAAGTACCCCTGAACAAACGCCGACCCTCAATGATGGTCAGGCTAAACGGATCAGGTATGTTTGCATGTGTATACGAATTCGCGCAATCAGTCGCAGTGTGGAGTTGGGCACTCGAGCTCTTTCGTGCAAAACCTATCCCCTGCACTGCCACTATCCGTAAGATCAAGCAAAACCCATGATTTATTTTCCGTCAATGCAACTCGTGTACCTGCGAAGTTTGTGTCCGGTCGGATGAAGCTCAATCATGGAGCTCCCATAAAATCGAAGGTCGATAGTCGAAAAGAAGTAAATCCTCTGTTTCGAGGACTTATTACGGCATCTGCTGTCAGTCGCACAGAATGAAGAAAATGTCGAAATATTTGTATGGACGTAATATATTACTCATAAGGTTGCTTGGAACACTCAACCAGCCCAAAACCGTTTTCGCCCTTCTTTGAGCTCGTCAGGTAAGTGCATTCCCCTTATGTTTTATTTGAATCCAAATTGCACAAAATAAGCGAAATATACTCATTTGCATACCTATTTGGTTTTGACGCGATACTCACGTGCAACCCAGCTGAATTTCTGCTTTATGATGAGTAGCGTATTGTGTCTACACCTGTATCACGACATCTTGAATATCGTGCACACGTACAGCTGGGTTCCAGATGAGTCTCCTGTCAAGACCAAACTGGTTTGCAAATGAGTGCATTTCGCTAATGTCGAAATACTATATATACGTATACTAAAGTATACCATACTATATATACTACAGCATAGTACTATACCATAGTACTATATATATGTATATATAGTACTATATAGTACTATAGTACCACAGTATAGTACTATAGCATATAGTAT